ATTTTATTTTATTTTTTTAATTTCAGGATATTATGGTGGTACAAATATTTTGGTTACATGTTATGACTTTGCCTCACCCAAGCCAGGATTGGAGGCATGTCCTTTCCCCCACGTCCATTAGTTGTGAGTTCACCCACTCCCATCCCTCCAACCCCCAATGACTACTACTACCATGTGAGCACCTTAGTGTTGATCAGTTAGTGCCAATTTGGTGGCGAGTACATGTGGTGCTTATTCTTCCATTCCCGTGATACCTCACTTTGGAGGATGGGCTCAAGCTCTATCCAGGAAAATATAAGAGGTGCTAGATTACCATTGCTTTTTGTAATTGAGTAGTATTCCATTGTATACATATACCATACTTTATTAATCCACTCACGGATTGATGGGCACTTGGGTTGTTTCCACATCCTTGCAATAGCACTATCAGTTATCTACCCAAAGGAACAAAAGACATTCTATAATAAAAACATCTACACTAGAATAGTAATTATTTTTCAAGAAGAATCAGTGTTTATTGTCATTTATGTTTTAAATCCCATGCTAAATACTTTAAGAAAAATAGACTCAAGTGTTATCACTTGCCAATTTTTATTAAAAGTTTACATTTATAAATTCAAAAATTCATGTACATGCTTAATAGTATTATTATATATGAGAAAAATTTGTACTGTCATTAAAATTTGAGATATTCCAAGGATTATTTTTCTCTTTCTATGAAATCACACAGCCTCCTTTGAGCTCCTTGAATGGATTTTTGTCCTCTGGGATACCCTTTACTAGCGGATCCTCCCCAGATCTTTCTTCAATGTAATCCCTTACTTCTTCACAACATTTGGAGACCTCAAAGAGAAGGAGAAAGAGATGACTCGTTTCGTTTAAAACCAAATAGTGCATATTTCAAGAATTTATTTATTACAATACATTTTCATGTTGTATTTTTTCAGCGTGATTCTCTCTGCTTTCTGCCAATGTATGTATACTTTCTAGGAAAGAAGAAGAAAGAACTTCTCCCTTCCCCAGTCTCCTAGATATCTCCAGACAAAGGCTAAACACCTGGCCACACTCCAGCTGAGGGTTCACAGCAGATGCTGCCTCCAGCTTCTTCAAAGGAAACAAGATCCGGGATCAGAACACAGCTGGCAACAGAAGTCAAGAATGTCATCAGAGTGAATATTGATTAAATCTTTTTCCTCATTCCAAAAATGTGACTTGTAAAGGTAGAAAGGAATGAATAATGCTTAAATTTCAGGCTTATCACCACACTTGAATTCTCAGAAGTATACACATGTAATGTTTACTTTAAACCCATCCACAATGATTGAGCACTGCAGTGTGCCATATGAGCTCCAAGAGGTGAGGGACCTTTGGCTGATTTCTTCAATGCATCCCAGGCATCTAGAACAGAGCCTTCCATTAGTTAGTGCTCAGTGAATAAATATTTGCTGTACTGAATCATTTGTTTTGTTTACAAGCTTGTTCTTCTCTCATCTGTACCATTACGGTAATGAT